AACTTCCGCAGCCTTTCCCCTTCGCAATTGACGAATTGCCGCAAGAAGCTGCGATCCCCATCGACCACAACTTTGCCGTCACACAGCAATTTGATCTGAGGTTGATGAAGTTGATCAAGAGCTTGGCCAACGCAACGTTCGACATCAACTGCTTTGAGAGTCGTGAAGATGTACTGCGAATGTTCGACGATGGACAGCGGCATGACACTCCGCACAATAGATGGCCGATAGTACCGAATGATCCGGATACTGGGTTTCCAAGACGTCTCCAGAGAGCCGAGGTCGTAGGCATGAGCAGATGGACCGACGACGCGTATGCAGCAGAAGCGTGGCAGATCTATGAATTCCACGCCCACGTTGTTCACCCGATGATGATCACTGCAATCCGCTGCGGGCTTAGCCACAAGTACCTCAAAGAGGTCGGCAGCACTCGACGTAACATGAGTGATCCAAAGGCTCGAAAGTCCGAGACCCAGGATGAGATCATCGAGAAACTAGCATTCATCTCAAATTTCATCAGACGCTTGATCAGGAAGACCTTCGGAGCGAGCCGGTATAGTTACTACCAGAAACCAGATGACGAAAGTGCCGCTCCATACAAATTCATCGACATTAGTCCCGCCATCAAATCGGAGAGGAAGAATGTCACGAAGGAGATCCTCGTTGCATGCCGCTACTATGGCATAGAGGTATCCACTATCCAAGCACAGAAATTGAAGTCCTTCGAGGAGCAGATCCGAGCGGGAAATCCAAGGAACGTTGAGCTCATCAAGGACTACATTGGCTTTGTCGGCGCTGACTACATGCGACAACTCACGAATGGATGAGCATTGGGGTCGTGCCGACATGCCACTTCCGGTACTTCAAGTACTGAGGGATCTTGGGTAATTCATGATGACCGTTTTGGCATCATGGGAGTGAGATAGGATTGTGTTTCACACCGTTGGTAATCGCATGATACCATAGGTAGGTGCACGTTTTCCGTTTGTAGCTCCATTGCCTGTTTGATCCAACTTTCAAGCGAATGCAAGATCTTTCGCTAACGCAATTCAATAGGACATACTGGTTGACCTCCAATACTCTTTTGAGAACGGGATTCGTTCTCCGGTTTTTACATCCACTCATCTCCCTTCCCCGTCGAAGTACGGATGTGGGGGGTGTCAATAGGGATGGGGTCCCAGTATAGCCGCTATACAGGTACATGCCATATACTTTTGGCTCAAGTGCCCAACCAGGTAAAAAGGAGCTTTAGCGCGCGAGCTTCATGTTGACCTAAGAGCTAGAACGGGGCCAGGGCACACCTTTCCATCCGTTCGCAGAAGGAATGGTTGGTTGAGGTGCGAGACATTCAATCACTTCTAGGCAGAATCACGGCTTGGCCATAGCTGTTTGGGGCTCGCGGAGTTCGCGAGGGCGGACGGAAGAGTGACAATAGGGATGAAGATGGATATGTTGAGACGTCTGCCAATTGAACTGCAAGTAGTCTTCGGATGCAGTTCTTCTCTCAAGCTCTGCCGTGCTGAAAGCTGGTCCCATTGTTGGCCGCAGGTGGTTGTCAAGACCAACAACTACCAGCTCTTCAGAGAAGACAGAGAACGGGAGAAGGATTTGTTTGATCCTTGGACCTTGAATTCACTGGCCTCCCTTACAAAGGCGGAGTGGAGGATTCAGGCAGTCAACGTTGACAATGTATATATATATATATATTTTTTTTTTTTTAGTTATTACATGTTATTACATATATATTTATAGATCACATTGCATTGACAATACATCTATATATATATATATATGCAGTATTCAATTATGACGTATCACTCCAGGACGTCGCCGAACTGCCAAGGGGACCAGGCCATTCACCTCCAAGTTTGGGAGTGTACATCCTCGCTAGCAGCTAGCAGCTAGCAGGGTTTTCGATGTGTCATAGACACCGCAGATGGGGCCTTCGAAAGGCCACACTGGGGCTTTTGTATGAAGGACATGGTTTTGAGCAATGCAAAGCGCGGGCTTCGTCCCTTTCAGGCGAGTGAGGTGTTCCTGCGAAACCTCACTGGGGTGGCAGCACGTTGGTTGTCGGAAGGTTGGTTCTTATGGGTACCTTGTTTCCTTGTTGCCGCGAGACATGCGGTCTCCGCCGTGTAGGCCACAGGGCAAGAAACATACCAGGTAGAGAACATCCAGGGCGACCCTCAGATTCCTGAGAGTAGTGCTGGTCCGAGAGGGAAGCCACAGGACCGCCTCTTCGTCTTCAATCTCTTCAACACCTACAACAGCTTGCTTTGGATTGCCTTTGCCGAGAGGAACATGGAGCAGCTTCGCGTGCAGGTGCTGTTCCTTTGTTTGAGCTCCATCTTCATGAACAATCTGCAGCTTGGAGAAGGTGGGTGGCCTGAGCAAGGTTCGTGGATATTTACACTTCAAAGCTAAAGGTCTCATAGCTAACGATGATCGAATGAAGCACGATAAACGTTCATGGTTTTGGAGACCAATTTCGTTGACCCCGCGGTTTGGAATGTATAAATAAACGCAAACTTCGCCGTCAAAAAGCGCGCGTGTGTCTTCTGAACTGACTAGGTCTAATTAGTGGAGTTTACGTGATGGCCTTTGGAGCCCTTCTCCATGAGAGTCAATCCAACACATTCGGTGGAGCCCTACCTCTGAATGACATGAACCTATTGGACTGGGATTTCTTCAGATGGAGGCTGATTTGGACCGGACCTACCTGAGCATCCCTTCGCCTACCCCCACATTCACCTATACTGTACTTGGATAGCCATGGCTCCCGGAATGCGTTCTCACCCTCTTTGCCAATTGAAGAGTTGCAACCCTCACAGTCATCGAGATCTGAGGAAGCACAGGGTCCAGGGGGAAGTGAAGACCGAAAGCTGAAAACCAAATTCCGAGGCTGGAGTTCTTTTGGTCCCACTTCGTGAAGCAGTTTCAGAAGATGAACCATCGGGGCTCCATCGGCCAGGGCCTGCGGCAGTCACTTGGCTAGAAGGATTTGTGGGTTTGGTTCCAGGATGGGATGTAGGTCATGTGTCCGGTATGAGCTCCATATATACTTGCCTTGATCCAAGTACCTCGACCTATTGTGCTTTGCCCTCACACGCCAGGGGGGATTTGGTGCTCGTCGCCCAGACACATCGAATGCTCCGCGACCGCCACTGCACCGTGTCCGCGGCCGGTCGCTGGTGGTTGCTGATTCAGGACGTTGCGCTACATGTTGGTGGGCGATCCCCTCGAGGAGGAGACGAAGATCAGCTTGGTGGATCCCATCAAGACCGCGCTGGACGGGGTGTAGCCTCTTTTTTGGGGCGGTTCCCACCGGGGAAGGGATGGGAGAATGGGAGAATCTGAGACATGTAGTCAGTGAATCCGCGGGCTTGAGTTCTTCAGGCCGGAAGAGTGAGCGAGACACGGCTGGAAAGAAATGCCCCGCTCGATTTATATCGTTGAGTTCCCCGGTTTCCTTTGTGTCTTCGTTCTGCATGTGCAGACCTTTTCAGTCCATCCAATGGCCCCAGCAATCCGCCGTCTGCCAGGACCACGTGACGGACGAGATCACACGCGACTATGCATTCGAGTTGGTGGACGAGGCCATTGAGCTGGTGATCCAGTGCCCCGCGGTAGCCCCCGTGAGCTGGGTTGCGAAGTCAGGACGTGACCTGAGTGGCGAATTTTGAAGGGTTGCCCCAAATCTTTCGTGGCAGACGGGGCAGACGTCCATTCTTCAGCCTCGGGGGTCGGCACCCTTGCGGATCTCTTCGGCCAGTACGACCCGATGGCCGAGGGGTCGACTCCGTGACACGGTCGCCGTCGTCGATGCGTCGGCGGAAGACGCCGTGACCTGACTGCAAAGTGAAGTGAAGGAACCGGGCTCCCCCGCAATTCCCTGAACCAACCGCTAGAGTCGCTAGAGTTCCAGAAAGTGACTGTTCCACCCAACTGGCATCCTTTGAGCGGTAGGTATGGCTTGATCATGATGTTCACTGTGGCCTTTCCCTTGGCGCCTCTGCTGGCCTTGATCAACGTGCCCCGACTGCATAGCTGCTTCCTTCCCTCCAGAGCTCCCTCCTCCTTCTCTCGGCCTCCAGAGCTTCCTCCAGATCCGAGACCAGTCAGGTGCAGAAGTTCATTTCACGCCACCGTTTTTGGTCTAAATTCGAACGCTTGGGAGCACTGTTGTTCCATGTTGTTCCTAAAGGGGCTGAGTTGACTGGAAAACAACAGCGGCCGTTTAAACGGGGGAGGCGGAGGATTTCATGAAAAACAGTGAGGAAACAAGCATTGCATGAATTATCAGACAAATTGTTTGCGAATTCAACAGGTTTTGGGAATAGTGGATGCACTAGCTGTAAGAGAAGCCGGTAGAATGGCTGCTCAACATGCTAGAGAAGAAATACCTCATACAGATTGGGACCTCATTGTGCAATTGCTATTTTTTGTCATGCAGATGCGAAAAGGAAGGTCTAGAGTCTAGATGTTCACCACCTACTGTCGACTTATATAAGCTATGTCACTGCTACAGAAGCTCCATGTCCGGTGTACATCGAGCGCCACTCGAGGTACACATCGAGAAGCGCTTGGATGCTTATAAGCTGGCCTCCTGGCTTTCACTGATCAGTGAGTGCATCCTCATTCAGGTAACCCTCCCTGCACAACTTCTGTGTGAGGGTTCCTCTGCCCAAGTGTGTGGCCAATGTGAGTTCTTTTGTCTCTTGATGTTTCCTCCTTTCTCCAGACTCGTCAAAATTGCTGGCTCTTCAGCCGGCGTCATGTGCGATTTGTGGGTTTGAGGTCCCAAGAATGTCGATGCATGGTTTCACCATCCCAAGACGTTTTGGAGAGTAAGCTGATTGTATCCTTGAACCTATCTTGAATCGATCTATTTTAATTTTGCGTGGTCTCATTTTCGTGGATGTTCATCTCCAGTTGAGTGGCCAATAGCTGCTGTCCTATCCCCAAGGAGTGCAACTGGTTTTGCCCGTGCTTCAGGTGAAGCTTATGCAGTCACCAGAGCCCCTCGGACGAAAGACGCCTCGAAACTGCTTGGAGGGGAACCATTTTCCTTTGGTGGAGATGCTGTACATCATCAACCCCAATAAAGGTATGCTTTTGTCGATCTCCATTTAGACCGCTCTAGGTTGTGCCATGAACTCACCGTGGAGTTCGATATTAGCCCGAACCCATCTCAAAAGTTCATTCTTGCCTCGCTGCTGACCCCAGAATCACAGGGCGTCAGATGACCGCTTTTGGTGCGCAGGTGCATGGCGCAGCTCCCTAGTATGGATATCAGACATACAATGCTGGTCCGGGGTCTGTATTGTCATTTCAAGGTGTACGTTCTTCAACTATGACCTTTAACTTCTTGACACAGTCATAGCATAGCCAGTAGCCTGTTTAGAGCCCTACAACCCTTTTTCAGTTGCAGCTTGGATGGCCACACAAGGCCTCGCATGGTTGTGGGCATGGGAAGGGCCTTTAATGCCTTCGTGATCGTCACAGGCAAGATCTGCAGAGCTATCATCTTTGTTTAGCCTGGTTCGATCAATCTCAGCTTGCGCCACCCTTTAGCATCTGCGGCTGGCGCCCTTCGTAACTGGATGATTCGCTAGCATATGGATTTGGAAGGGGTTCGGAGACCGCGTCGGCCAGGGCTGGGGCTCGTTGTTAGCGGCTTGCTGCTCTATTTCCCCCAGTATGCTGGTGATGCTTGCCACTGGGCCTGTGGAGCATTGTCACTTCAGTATCATTGTTCATGACTCATGACATTCCGATCACTGACAAGTTTGTGTCTTGGAGGCCTCTGTTGAGCAGTTTTGTTGGACATCCTTTAGGCTGGGCCGGGCCGTTTGTTGAGGCCAAAACTGCACCCGGGGGACCAGCATCGAGCTCATCTTACCGCAGGCCACGACGGAGGAGCGGCTCTTTCTCCTGGGCGCAGGGGAACATGTCTTGCTCATCATCATGTACGCAGCTTGGACTGGTGGCCGCCGGCGTTGCCTCGTTTGGGGCCGTCCGGGCTTTCTGTTTAGGATGGACTTGCAGAAGCGGACGACTTGGCGGGTCCATAAACTTTGTTCTGGATGGAATGTGGCTTCAAAGGTGTGACACCAATTTCCACCAAAAGCATCCGGGCTCCCACCGGTCATCACCTGAGTTCAATTAGCTTTAGCTACAGGGCAGGATCCTCCCACACGCCATGACTGGGCTCGTTAAAGGCGATTCTATATGATAGGAGGGGGGGGAGGGGCCCCCCCTCCACCCCTAGTGGATCAACTCCACCTGCGACGGGTGAATTTTCCTTCAATCACGAAAGCCAGCTCAGAAGGAGCTCAGCGGAAGTTGTTGTTTACGAAATATAGTGAGGCTCAAAATTAAAAGGTTCAGTGAACTAATTGATTCTTTCAATTAAAAGGAGGGGTCAGCCGAGGGGGGGGGCCCACTGAAAGGTAGAGCCTCCTGTACAGGGTTCCACTCCAACAGCTGATATAGTGTGTCCATGCTTGACTGCTACAAGGCTCAAGAGAGGGTCAATGGACCTAAAGAGCAAGAGGATAAGACTCTGCGCATAAAAGACACTAGCGGTCTGCACCTCTACCGTGTACGCCCTAGTCACTCTTTCAGTGGTAGCGGAGCAGTGATCCTGGAAGACCCAGGTGAGCTCCTTTCCTAGGCATAGAATTGCTAGTGGGCAAACGGCCATGGATTGGATTGACGACTGGGAAGAGCC